TAAGCCTCTAGTCCAGCCTCACCCACCAGGGGACAGATACCAGAAATGAGAAAACAACAATCCCAGAGCCTGTGGAAGGAATCTACAAACACAGGCCAGACTCTACACTGGGACCGGCTGGACCCTGGTCCTTGGGTGACAAGAGATGTACTGTTGGGACACATTAAAAGACTGAAGGACAAAAGCCATACGATCATCTCAATAGATTCAGAAAAAGCTCTCAGTAAAATCCAACATATATTTATGATTAAGAACTCTCCAGAAAGTGGGCACAGACGGAAAATACCTCAACATAATGAGAGCCATTTATGGCAAATCCACAATGAAAACCACACTTAGTGGTGACAAGCTGAAAGTGCTTGCTCTAAGATCAGGACCAAGACAAGGATGTCCACTCTCCCCACTTTTACTCAATACAGTTTTGGAAGTCCTAGCCATAATAATCAGAGAAGAAAAGGAAGTAAAAGGAATCCAAACCAGAAAAGAAGAAGTAAAACTGTCAATGTTTGTGGATGACAAGATACCATACACAGAAAATCCCAAAGAAGTGACCAGAAAACGACGAGAGCTCATCAATGAATCTGTGAAAGCTGCAGGGGCACAAAACTAATGGACAGAAATCAGTTGCATCTCTATACACTAACAACGAAACTGCAGAAAAACAAATTCAGGAAACAACCCCACTGATCATCATACAAAAAAGAGAACAATACCCACGAACAAACCTGCCTACGGAGGCCAAAGACCTGCGCTCTGAAAACTACAGTGCACCACTGAAGGCCACTGAAGACCACACAAGCGTCCAGTGAATCAGCACTGCTGAGTGGCCACTCTCCCCAGGGCAATGCAGAAATTCAGTGCCATCTGTATCAGACTACCAGCAACATCACAGAGCCGGAACAAAAAACGCTACCATTTATATGGAAACATAGAAGACCCGAACAGTGAAAACAATCTTGACAAAGAAGAACAGAGCTGGAGGAACCAGGCTCCTTGACTTGAGACTATGCTACAGAGCGACAGTCATCAGAACAGTGTGGTACTGGCACGAAAACAGACACCTGGATCAACGGAACAGGATAAACCCATATACTTAGGGTCAATTAACCTACGGCAGAGGAGGCAAGAATATACTATGGAGAAAAGACAGTCTCTTCAGTAAGTGGTGCTGGGAAAGCAGGACAGCTACCTGTGAAAGAATGAAATGGGAACATTCTCTAACACCATATACAAAAATAAACTCAAAATGGTTTAAAGACCTAAATGTAAGACTGTATACTATAAAACTTATAGAGGAAAACATAGGCAGAACCCTCTCTGACATAAATTGTAGCAATATTTTTTGGATTAGTCTCCTAAAGCAAAGGAAATAAAAGCAAAAATAAACAAATGGGACCTAAAATTTAACTTAAAATCTTTTGCACAGCTGAGGATACCATCAACAAAACGGAATGACAACCTACAGAATGGGAGTAAATATTTGCAAATGATGCAACTGACAAGGGACTAATTTCCAAAATACACAAATAGCTCATACAGCTTAATGTCAAAAAACAAGAAGCCCAATCAAAAAATGGGCAGAAGATCTAAACAGACATCTCTCCAAAGAAGACACAGAGACGACCAATAAGCACATGAAAAGATGCTCAACATCACTAACTGTTAGAGAAATGCAAATCAAAACTACAACAAGGTTTCACCTCACAGCAGTCAGAATGGCCACCATTAAAGCATCCACAAATGATAAATACTGGAGAGGTTGTGGAGAAAAGGGACCCCTCCTACACTGCTGGTGGGAACGTAAATTGGTGCAGCCACTGTGGAAAACAGTATGCAGATTCCCTAAAAAACTAAAAATAATTACCATATGATCCAGCCATCCCCCTCCTGAGCATTTATCTGGAGGAAATTCTAATTTGAAAAGACACATGCACTCCAATGTTCATAGCAGCACTGTTTACAATAGCCAGGGCATGGAAGCAACCTAAATGTCCATCAACAGATGACTGGATAAAGAAGTTGTGCTCTACTTATACAATGGAATACTACTCAGCCATAAAAAAAAGAATGAAATAATGTCATCTGCAGCAACATGGATGGATCTGGAGACTGTCATTCTAAAGAAGTAAGCCAAAAAGAGAAAGAAAAGTACCATATGATATCATTTATATGTGGAATCTTAAAAAAAAAAAAAGACACAAATGAACTTAGTTACAAAACAGAAACAGACTCACAGACATATAGAACAAAACTTATGGTTACCGGGGGAATAGGGGTGGGAAGGGATAAATTGGGAATTCAAGATTTGCAGATACTAACTACCATATATATAGCACAGGGAACTATATTCAATATCTTGTCGTAACCTATAATGAAAACATGAAAATGAATATATGCATGTATACGTGTGACTGAAACACTATGCTGAACACCAGAAATTGCACAACATTGTGAACTGACTATGCTTCAATAAAAAAGAATGCAAAAAAAAAATCCAAAAAAAGGTGGTTAAAAGAAAAGTAATCATGATTAAAAAATGCAAGATATGGAAAAGTGAAATTACATATGAATACAGCTGTGCTTAAAAACCACACAAACTCCCAAGTTACATCTCAAAAAGAGAATGGGAAAAAATGCACTGAAGACTTCATAACCATGTTTGCGGGACATTGTGACAGATGGAAAAGTCACTGTACCAACAGTGAGTCCAGGAGCAGACTCTCCCTTCAGAAACACAGATTTCTACACCAGAAAAAAGCAGCATTTAGTCAATCTCCTCCTCACCTTATAACCACAAGTTTATTTCCCAACCACACCAGGCACCTAAGAGTGGATTTATCAGAACAAAAATATTTCAGATACTGTCTTCAACTGTCTGAAAAAATGTGAATCGTAACACCCCAAACTACTTGCACGGATTAAGGTCCTGTCTCAACTTCCGGGAACTGGCCCACCGTTCAGTTTTGTGTGGAAACACAGTAGCAAGAAAACGTTTATCAAGTCAGAAAATGCATATTGAGTATATCAAAACAAGGGACACAGGAAGATCCATTATTTGCTGATACAGATGAGATTTTGCTCCCAATTCCCATACATCTCAGATGTCCTGGAGAGCTGCTTACTTGGTAGTTATGGTGTGAGGGGACCGAGATCCTCCACGTTAAAAATTATGCTACTGTTTATGTGAACAAAAGATGGTCAAGGGGCAGAAATACAGTAAAATCTAGTTTTAGTTTTTAGGCATCATTTTACCAATACTGAAAACAAAAATGAGAAAGAAAGACACACGCTGAGAGGAAGAAACTGCACTTGAATGTGGTACCTGGTGGGGCCAAGAGTAAGGGATACAGATTTATGAGAGCAAAATAAAGTCAAGAATTGTAATAAAAACAAAACTCAGCTGCAGAAGGAGCCAACAAGGGGCCGGGGAACCATATGCAAATACTGGGTTGCACCATGTGTCTCAGCCCTTGATCTGCGCCGGCTGTTCCAGGAGACACCAGACGCCACTGTGACTGGTTAATTAGTTCCCTCTGCAGGACACAGCAAGTTCCGGGTTACTCACGTGATATCCCTTCGTTGGTAGCAGCCCTGAAGCAGGCAGGCGATCAGGTCGCTGATAAACTCTGCGTCGTCCCTGTGAAGAGCTGCTTCTAGCTCCTGAGGAGGAGAAGCAGGGAGAGGGAGTGAGAGGTCGCATAGACAGCGGCTCCTCCCTTCCACGCCACCATCACCATCCCCACCACCCTGGTCACAGACAGCCCGCAGCTGGGCCAGAAGAGCCGCGGGTGTTCCAGTTCTCCGCAGGTTTACTCCCACTGACCCCACCGAACTCCGTCCCTCCTCTCCGCTCACTGTAGAGAACACACTCACGTCTCTGCACGTAAAACCAAGCCAGCAGAGCTGCAGAAGAGCTCAACTCACACAAACGCGACTGTCTGGCTTTCTGTTTTAATGGCAAGAGAATAAAGGAGCAAATATGCGATCGATTAGGAAGTGTTCATTTATTTCAGTTCCCACGGGTCAAGGGTCCGCGACAGCTTTCCGGAGCCATCCCACTTTGAGAAGCAGCACCTACAGGGCCGAGCCTGATCTTACTTCACCCCAAGGAGTGAGGCAACGTCCCCACTAACGGTCTACTTGCAGGGAGATGGACTTGCTGTCCCTGGGGTTCAGGCAGAGAAGGCCAAAGGATCAGAAGGCACAGTGCTGTCAACAAAGACCCGCTGAGGAGCTACAGGGACAGAGACAGTGCGGAACTCGAGAGAGTCTACCTCCCTTCTCAGCATCCCACAGCAAGCCTGTGCTTTCTGGGATGATGGAACGCGCTCCATCACTGGCTCGCGGGCTGCCGCCAACCCAACGCCCACCCCCTCCCGCCAGCCATCCCTAAGGGCTGCAAGGCTCATGGTGTGACTAGCTCATAAGCAAACTCTCTCAAGTCTTGCGAGTGGATGTGTAAGCACGAGGTGTGCCAAGATGCAGTTTCTGGCCTTAGCACCAAGTGCAGGGCAGTGTCCCCAAGGAGGGCAGTCGTAGAAGTTCCTGGCCAGTAACAATCACTCTGAACACTTCACAGGACGAAAGTCTGCTGAGCATTCTAAGTGACGGATGTAAACACAGTACAAACGACTCTGAGGCGGCCGGACTGAAAAGGAAGGGATCCCACGCTGCCCTGACGCCCAGGTGAACAGACCTCAAAATTCAGACGTGAAGCCCAGCCTGAACACACTCTGCTCGCCGGGAACACAAACCTGGTGACCATCACCATCACCACCCCCCACCACCACGGTTCTCAGTCTTCTACCAGCCTGCCAGCTCCTTTGGGCAGAGCTCTTTCCTACATTCTACCAGCCCAGGATTACAGGGTTTGAGCTATGTTTAGTCCAGATTCATTCACTCAACAAACACTTTCTGGCCACCTGCCTGTGTGGAACAATACGGGACATCCCACGCACTGGGGAGCTTGGTTTACTTAGGAGGGAAGACAGCACAACAAAGACAGGCAGACATCGACGTCAGCACTCCTGGGGCCAGAATACTGTGGGACCGGCAAGGAGAGGCGGTGAGGAGAAGGGTCGGGGGGACAGCGACACGCCCCGGAGAGCAAAGCCTTCCTCCCCTGCAGCTGGCGCCTCACGGTGACCCAGGCGCAGAGCACAGCAGGTCTCACCGCCCAGCGCTGACCAGAGGAAGACCGTGGAGAGGCGGCAAAGGAGAAGCAGGGAAGCAATTTTAACCCTGCTGAAAAAAAGTGCTGGTACCAGTTAAAACTTTTTTCACTTCAGTGGGTACAGAGTTTCAGATCTGCAAGATGAAGAAGTTGTGGAGCCGTTTCACAACAACATGCATCTACTTAACCCTGCCCGACTGCACTTAACATGGTTATGACGGGAAAGTTTGTGCCTCTTTTACCACAACTTAGAGAAAACGTTTTTCACGGTAAAAGCACCCCGTCCAAGTGCTTCTGTGATGATGGCAATGAGGCGATGCGTATAAAAGCAGACCAGCACAGCACACAGCAAGAGCCCCACCACACGTGAGCACCGCGATTATCTCGTCTTCCTTGAACGACCGTGTGCAGGGGAAAGCAGACTGAAGGGCCAGAAAGTGGTCGTTTCAAAATGCAGGTTTCTGAACAATAGAACAATTTTAATACATGGCCTACTGTGTTCGCAAGCCAATAAAACTACTTCCAAATCCAGGGTATTCAAAGCTTTACCCCGTATGCCTTCAACCCAGAGTCTAAGGCTCAGATGAAGGCAACAAGGAACAAACATCCTTCAGAACCACCCCCTCCTCTCGCCCACTCCTCTCCCCCTTTGTACGTCCTTTTCACTGTGGGCACTGAGCTGTGAGCACAGAAATCCGAACTTTGCCAAGATGCTCTGGGACAGAAGAAGGAAGGGTGGGGGCAGGGGCACGGGCTCCTGCAGCTCCTGCACTTCAGAGGGGCTGGAGGGAGGACCGGGACTGCCCTCCTTGCAGCTGGCGTCACAGTTCATTAGGGACAAGTCTGTTTAACACTGTCACACCTCCCACGCCCTCAGGAGCAAGTGGGGCTGCTAGGAAGAGAACCCCGGAATGAGCAGGGAGATAAAGAAGCTCTCAGTCCACACTGGGGGAGCCTTCGCTGTGCCAGAAGCAACAGCCCAGCGCAGCATGGGCAGAGCATCACCAACCCCGAGCACGGCCAGCACTAAGTATCCCTGCAGGTGCTCGCAGTGCTACACAGGCTCCTGAGCCCTGGACAGGCTTTCTCTAATCTCCTGCGAGAGAAGGAACGTGCACAGCTACCACTCAGGCACAATAATCCCTCTGAGTTTCCTTAAGGAGGGTAAAAGGGGTCACACATGCTGTATCTGATTTTAGAAGGCTACAAATCTTTCTCATTTGCACATAGACCAACTGTAAGGCGTTGGGGGGGGGGTCGCAGTTGGAGACAGGGGCCTCCCTGTGGGACCCAGAGCTGTGCTCGCACAAAGGCGATGCAAAGCAGACCTTCCTGCAGGGCTCCCCTGCTGCTTGCCAAGGGGCGGCCTGAGAGTGGGCTCAGCCTCCAGAAGGCACCCCTGACTCTGCAGCTGATGCTTTATAACTTGAAATGATTTAATTTAATCCCAAAGGCTTGCCTGTGCCTATTCAGACAGTGAAGTATAAATCAGCCCAAGTGGGTGGAACGGCGAGGACCCCGAAACCGCTGTTCCCAGACTGCCCACTGGCCGAGTGCTCCACCCCAGGGGTCCTCAGGCCAGCAGGTGCCCCTGCGTCCTGTCAACAGTCCACAGAATAGCTGTCGCTGGCTGCGGTGCTGAGTAAACAACAGAAAGGAGACCAAAGTGGCTCTTCCCTTCAAACGTGGCTGCTGCCCAGAGCATTAGGTCAACAGGAAAACACCAATCACATCAGTCAGTGTGGAAACCTAGAACACGATTTTCCAGAAAAGGAGTAAATTACCAAAGCTGGCTCCAGAAATTAAGCAAAGGCTCACAAGTCTCACAGACACCCCCCCCCCCAGAAGGTGCCTGCGATACACAGGCAACCCCCAGGTGCTGACAGGGCCGGAGGTGCCCCAGCACTCCCCAGGGCTGGCGCTGGGCGGGCAGCGTGCGAGGGCAGCACGGGCACACAGGGTCTCACAGCCCGCACCAGCCTCACGCGGAGCGGGCAGCCTATCCCTCACAGTGAGGGCTGTATCCCTCCGCCCACACGGTGTGCGGCCAGAACACAGGAGACCAAGAGAAGACAGCACACAGCTTCCTAGAGAGGCGGTTCTGAGTTTTCGCTTGTTCGTTTTTATCGCTGTTGCTTGTTGTTGTTTGGAAAGGTATTTTTAACTTAAACATTTGTATGAATTTAAAAAATAAAACAGGACTTCATGAGGCAAACAAAGACTGCAGCTCCAGACCTGGGGCTATGCCGTCTCACTCTTCGCGCTCCACTGGGCCTGCTGGAAATCACTCAGGTATCGAGGAGCCAGTAAAGACAGGACAGAAGAATAGTGAAACACAGAAGGTTAACCTATGTGTGTCTGCAGGACACAGGGAGAGAGACCAGGCCTGGTCCAGGGAAGGCGCGACGGGGCCCATACCATGAGGCAAACGAAAGTTCGGGGTGAAAGGGGAGAGTTTCAGAAGTAGAGTCAGTTAGATTTTGCAACTAACAGCATATGGAGGGAAAGGACAAGGAATTTGGGGGTAACAAGTTTGAATCCTGCCCCTCCCCAAAGATCATGGAATCTTTAACTGATAAAAAAACTAACGGATGAGGGGTGGTGATGTGGGGCAGAGACAATAAAGAAGTCAGTGGGAGATAATCTTGCGCCGCCCTAAATCCTGCTTGTCAGCCTGTGACTGCGCCCCGATCCTGTGTGGGAACAGCAAAGTCGTACACATTTCACACATGACTCTGCTGCGTGCATGAGGGGCCCTTCTGGCTGCAGTGATCCATCAGCTCACCGCACAAGGGGCGGCACCCTGCATCTGCAGACACACTGCAAGCCGGGCTCTCCGCACAGTGCTGGGGCGCAGTGTGGGCACGAGGCCCCCTCCAGTGATATTTCATCTCTTGGAGGGGCAGGTGGAATCGGCGGCAACCCCAGTCCCGGCTGCGAGACAGCAGCACTCAGCCAGCAAGGGTCTCAGACAACAAAGGTCACCGCTCTGAACGGAAGCTTAACGAGGACCTTGCAGAGCCTCCGGCTACCGCCCAGTGCCTCCACAGGTAAGTGCCTGGAATGTTCCAGAGAAAACCAAACAGTAGCCGCTGGGAACAAGCCGTCTAAAGGGATGAACTGAAGGTTTCCAGAATGCGTGAAATCGAGTCATGAAGAAATCTGGAAAGGCCAAGTAGGGATGATCAGGGTGAGATCACTACCAAGAAAGCAGTACCCCCTGCTCCCTGGGGGAAGGGTGGGGGGATGCCCCGCCCAAAGTGGGCAGTCTGCAGGACAGCTAAGGAAATCCGCGGTGAGAACTTGCGGAAGTTGGTACCTCGCCTCCTCTTCTCTCATCTCCTGATGGTAAGTAGCCTGGGTGTGAGGAAGGAGGTGTGTGTTGAGGGCAAGTCTCAATCCAAGCGCAGGTAAACTAACTGTCCTTCCGAGACTCTGGGCCTGTGACCTCGCCAGGTTTCTGAATCTACAA